GGCAGCCTACGTCTATTGCAGCATAACTAAGGGAGGATTCAGGGTCACCTGGTCCAGCCCTAACTATATGCTTTAGCAAAAAGGAAAGTTTGAAGCCTAATCTTGAAAGTAGAGATAGTGTCTGTCTCCTGAATCCAAACTGGAAGCTGGTTCCACAGAAGAGGGGCCTGAAAACTGAAGGCTCTGCCTCCCATTCTACTTTTAAATACTCTAGGAACAACAAGTAGGCCTGCAGAGCGAGAGCGAAGTGCTCTAATAGGGTGATATGGTACTACAAGGTCATTAAGATAAGATGGGGCCTGATTATTTAAGACCTTGTATGTGAGGAGCAGGATTTTGAATTCTGGATTTAACAGGAAGCCAAAACAGGAGAAATCTGCTCTCTCTTTCTAGTCCCTGTCAGGACTCTTGCTGCAGCATTTTGGATAGCTGAAGGCTTTTCAGGGAGTTTTTAGGACTTCCTGATAATAATGAATTACAGTCGTCCAGCCTGGAAGTAATAAATGCATGAACTAGTTTTTCAGCGTCACTCTGAGACAGGATATTTCTAATCTTTAGAGATGTTGCGACAAATGGAAGAAAGCAATCCATCCATCCATCCATTTTCTTCCGCTTATCCGGGGCCGGGTCGCGGGGGCAGCAGCTTAAGCAGAGAAGCCCAGACCTCCCTCTCCCCAGCCACCTTTTCCAGCTTATCCGGGGGAATACCAAGGCGTTCCCAGGCCAGCCGAGAGATATAATCTCTCCAGCGTGTCCTGGGTCTGCCCCAGGGCCTCCTCCCGGTGGGACATGCCTGAAACCTCACCCAGGAGGCGCCCAGGGGGCATCCTTGTCAGATGCCCGAACCACCTCAGCTGGCTCCTTTCGATGTGGAGCAGCAGCTGCTCTACTCTGAGCCCCTCCCGGATGGCCGAACTTCTCACCCTATCTCTAAGGGAGAGGCCAGCCACCCTTCGGAGGAAGCTCATTTCTGCCGCTTGTATCCGCGATCTCGTTCTTTCGGTCACTACCCACAGCTCGTGGCCATAGGTGAGGGTAGGGACGTAGATCGACCGGTAAATTGAGAGCTTCACTTTTACACTCAGCTCCCTCTTCACCACGACGGACCGGTGCAGCGTCCGCATTACTGCAGCTGCAGCCCCAATCCGTCTGTCGATCTCCGGCTCCCTTCTCCCATCACTCGCGAACAAGACCCCGAGATACTTGAACTCCTCCACTTGGGGCAGGAACTCATCCCCGACCCGGAGTGGGCACTCCACCCTTTTCCGGCTGAGAACCATGGCCTCAGATTTGGAGGTGCTGATCCTCATTCCCGCTGCTTCACACTCGGCTGCGAACCGCTCCAGTGCGAGCTGGAGGCCCTCACCCGATGAAGCCAACAGAACCACATCATCCGCAAAAATCAGAGATGAGATTCTGAGGCCACCAAAGCGAAAGCCCTCCGCCACTTGGCTGCGCCTAGAAATCCTGTCCATAAAAATTATGAACAGAACCGGAGACAAAGGGCAGCCCTGGCGGAGCCCATCACCCACCAGGAACGAGTCCGACTTATTGCCGGCAATGCGAACCAAGCTCTTGCAACGGTTGTATAGGGATCGAATGGCCCGTAGCAATGGGCCAGACACCCCATATTCCCGCAACACCTCCCACAGGACACCCCGAGGGACACGGTCGAATGCCTTCTCCAAGTCCACAAAACACATGTAGACTGGTTGGGCAAACTCCCATGCACCCTCAAGTATCCTGGAGAGGATAAAGAGCTGGTCCAGTGTTCCGCGACCAGGACGAAAACCGCATTGTTCCTCCTGTATCCGAGGTTCGACTAACGGACGAACTCTCCTTTCCAGCACCCTGGCATAGACTTTCCCAGGGAGGCTGAGGAGTGTGATCCCCCTGTAGTTGGAACACACCCTCCGGTCCCCTTTCTTAAAGATGGGGACCACCACCCCGGTCTGCCAGTCCACGGGTACTGCCCCTGATCTCCACGCAACATTGCAGAGGTGTGTCAACCAGGACAGCCCTACAACGTCCAGAGCCTTCAGGAACTCGGGGCAGACCTCATCAACACCAGGGGCTCTGCCACCAAGGAGTTGTTTAACTGCCTCAGTGACCTCGCCCCCAGAAATTGGCTGTCATCCCCCTCGTCCCCAAACTTCCGCCACGGAAGACGTGCCAGTGGGATTGAGGAGGTCATCGAAGTATTCCTTCGTGGTGGGCCTGCAGGAAGATGGGCCCATGTCCCTTTTTCGGGCTGTGCCCGGCCGAGCCCTATGGACTAAGCCTGGCCACCAGACGTACCCTCGGGCACCCCCCTTGCTCCAGGGCAGGGCCCCGGTAACCCTATCGCGGGGAGGGTGAACTGTTCCCTTGATGGGGTCTTCTGAATCCCTCTTTGTCTGGTCCCTCACCCAGGACCAATTTGCCATGGGAGACCCTACCAGGGGACAAAAGCCCCCGGACAACATAGCTCCTGGGATCCCTGGGACACACAAACCCCTCCACCACGATATTCTCATTCTCAGAGGGCTGGAAGAAAGCAGTCTTACATATTTGTTTAATATGTGCGTTGAAGGACATGTCCTGGTCAAAAATGACTCCAAGGTTCCTCACAGTGTTACTGGAGGCCAAGGTAATGCCATCCAGAGTAAGAATCTGGTTAGATACCATATTAGTAAGAATCTGGTTAGATACCATATTTCTAAGATTTTCAGGGCCGAGTACAATAACCTCAGTTTGATCTGAATTTAGAAGTTATGTTATGCCTTCTAATGTTACTGTCTCAGGGAAGCATGTATAATGTAGACGTTTACTAGCCGGGACCACATACTCATTTTAGGTTTGACAGCATTTCTAGTAAACAATGAGAGAAAGAAAACACGAACTAACAGCTTGTAGTGGGGGAGAAGGGGGTCATGTATAGACAAAGAAGGGGTGTGTGTGAAGGTCCTGCTCCTGAAATTCAGAAAAATGATCTCCAAGAACTAGTCCTAGCAATGAACCCTGTGGAACTCCATATCAGTTTGGATCAGTTTGGTGGTGGGGATGTCTGGTATTAAGGTGATGAAGGCTGAGCTGTAGTCAAAGAAGAGCATCCTCATGTAGTGCTTCCTGTTCTCCAAATGGCTCAGCGCTCTCTGAAGGGTGATGGGAACAACATACTCCATGGACTAATTTGCACAGCAAGCAAACTGGTGGGGGTCAAGGGAGGGGGTACAGTCTCTGATTTGCTGAGACACTATCCGCTCAAAACACTTTATGACTAGTCTGCATATGCACGCCTCAATTTCTTCTTTCTTATTCTAATGGATAAAGCATGAGGAAAGCGGAAGAGCGAGGAAAAGGAGATTAAACGGTGCTTCATTTCTCCTCTTCCTCTCTACTCATGTTTCATTCAGTTATCTATCTCATGGCCTTCCACTCAGAGATCAAGGAGTGAGGGCTCAAGCAAGCATGCTGAAACTGAATGTTGACAAAGATGATGGCAAAGTCTCACTGTAGGAGATTTGTTAGCTGTAAGTGTAGTTTGTACGTCTTGTTCTGCAGTTTGTGTAAAAAGAAAGGTGATAGGACCTTTAGCTAACACAAACTGTAACACAAACTGTGATTTAAATAAGCAAAGGCTTTGCTCCATGATGGCATGTCTTCCACTTCATCACACCGCTCATCTTTCCCTCTCATTGCACTTTAGGTTTATTTGAGGCTGCTGTCCTCTTTTCTTACCCGGTGACAGTCTCCTCCTGACAGGACCTCCTGGATGAAGACTGCAGGGCCGTCAGGCCTGTTGGAACCTCCTCCAATGGTGATGCCTAAACTGCCGGATCGTGCTATTGAAATAAGTTGAATCACCCCTTCACCTGGATGACTAAGAACACAAAGACACGGATAATCAATTCTGGAAGTTAGGAAAAGGGGTCTGTGGTACACCTCAACTTACAGGACCTGCTTCTAACAGCTGGGTGGAAGACAAGAACTAAAATTGCGTCCAGTGTTACTGGCAACTCGGAGGGTTTTTATTTAGCTTGAGTCCACACCTATAGCCAATTTAGAATGAGATCAACCTAACGTATAAGCCTTTGGACAGAAACACAGGGAAATGATGCAAATAACACAATAAAGGCTGATCACAAGATTCAAGAGTGGATAATGGCAGAAGTAGTTCCATGGTTAAGAAAAACAGCTTAACATAGTTCAGGGACTCACTCGAGGATTTAGGTGTATCATTGGCAACAGTGTACAATCAAGAGATGAATGAATGAAATACAACAAGGTGCAAACCACAGGTTACACTGGAGGCCAGATTAGACTTTGACAGAAACAAGACTTTGCTCTCGAAATGGAAAAACAATGTCTTTGGACAGATGAAACCAGGATGAACTCTGATCACAACGTTTGAAGGAGAACAGAAAGGAGAACGTGATCCAAAGAACATGTGTCCATCGTGGCAGAGGCAGTTAGAGCATTGGTATACATCAGAGTCAAAGCTTTGTTGTCTAAAACCGTACGTACACATCATACACAGGAATTTGAACTTCACAGTGCTCCCATTACATATTACATTATGTTAGAAATACACAACAGCATACAACACAATCTAATTGTTTGTAGGCAACAGTTGGTGTGGATGTTGGGTGGGGGAATCAGGGAAGGGCGATGGTGGAGAGCTTTGTATGTCTGGTGTGGGGTTCAGAGAGAAAAGGTGAATGAAGGTGTTCATCTGTAAGTCTGATACCAATAAAAAAAAAAGAGTACATGGAGACAAGGACAAAACACAAACTATGGGAGAAAAGGGACACTTTTGTTTTTAATTTTACATTTACACGTAACCTTTTGTATTGTCTATACTGTCAATTTTGTAACCTAACTCAGACAGACTGAGACTGATCACAGATAAGTGCAATTCATCTGCAAGTAGGGCTACTCAGATCAGCTGGTTATATTCTGGGTTTATTCCTACATAAACCAAGGCTGCCATCCTGCAGCAGCTCTGTCATGATCTGTGGAAGAGTTTTGTCATTTCTGTCTCCAGTCACAGCTTTGCTTGTGTGAATGGAGCCTAAACAATCTGGAAAAAGTCCTGCAGCTTCCCAAAACACAGATAAGATTTTCTTTTTATTTTCTTGTTTCATTATTATGATGTTCTGACTTTAATTACATTAGCCCTGCTGACATCTTCCCTTAATGAAAAGTGGTTCACTTTCAACCACTTTGTTCATCCCAACCTAACCAACCAGAACTTACTATTTTAGCTCCAAGACTTTCTTGATGGTCGGGTTGACAGTGAGCCTGTATTAAATATGAACTCTTACCTGAGGGAGCGCAGCATGGGCCCACTGTTGTTGTACATACTCTGAGAGCCTGCTGGGCTCAACAGCAAAGGACTCTGGGAGCGTGACGAGGAACCGGATGATGTGCTATCCAGGTAGCGACCTCCTTTGGATTTGAAAAACAAACAAACAAAAATTACATGAGAGAGATAACCCAGATTACATTTATTTTAGGAAAGGGCAGTTAGCAGTCCAGACTTTCAGCTGCTCCCTTTAGCACACAGCAGATCATCTGCCTCCATCTCACCCTATCCCAGCATCCTCCTCTGTCACACCGGCCCTCGGGATATCCTCCTTCACTACATGCATGAGTCTGTGAGGTCTTCCTCTTTTCCTCCTGCCTAGCAGCTTCATCTTCAGCTTCCTTTGTCCGATATATCCACTCTCCCTCCTCTGCTTGTTTCCAAAACCATCCCAAACCCCTGAACTCACTTCCACCCACTCCACCTCACTGCCTGTTGCTTTGGATGCTTGATCCCTGTATTTAAATTCACTACCTTTGCACCTTCATGTTGACCTTTCCACCCATCTCCCTCCATACTCCAGTATTCTGTCTGGCTTGTACAGACTTTCATTAGTCCAGTCTCCAGAGCATACCTCCACCTCTTAAGGCTCTCTTCCACCTGCTCTCTACTCTCACAATTTTCTCTGCAAAAATCAGGATCACGTCTTAGTCAGTTTGCTCTTTTTAAATTAATTTCCATAAAAGTTTTCTCGTAGTATGTCTTCATTAAATTGCCCCATTTTGCATTTTTTCCTTTTAGAACATTATTTCTACTTGAGTCGCTCTTAATTCCTATAAATATTTAACACGAGCAAACTGGTCTCATACTACGCATATAACAAAGTGTTCCCTGTTTTTAGAACGTTATTTTTCTTCTAGTTTGTACTTGAACCCTAGCTTAAAGACCTCAGTGCAATGTTCTAGCATCAGTGAGGGCTGTTTAGATTAGCACACCAGACACCTCACAATCAAATTTCTCCTCATAAACAAGTGGTTTTACACCAAGCGAGGAGTGGTCCATGCAGCCTACAGCAGCAAAGCCAACAGCATGGACCAGCTCATCACTGCTGTTAGTGAGGATCTTTTTCTCGCTGTTCTTGTGTCTCTAGAGAGACTTTCAGGCTCTTGCAGTATATTCCTGTGAACCATCCATACTAACAATTCTTAATGCAAACCACATTATAGTGCTATCTCTCTTTATTCTGGAGCTGAAGCCTGATGTGTCAGCAGCACTGCTCACATGCTGGAGCTCTGTTTAACAGCTCTGCAGCAGCTGGCTGCCTCCTCTCCAAGTCAAACAGATGTTGGTAAATGTGCACTTGTCGTAAGGCATTTTAAGGTCGACTTACTCCTTCCTGCCTATAGGCAGAGTACTCTGACTAAAATAGAACGGTTGTTTTCTATTTTCGTTTTCAAATGTTAAAGGTCATGTTGGTCTTTGCTTTAGAAATTGGACAACAGTTTGAAGAATATCTGAAAGTATACTTTTTAAACACAAACTGATCAGGAAAATAATACCAAATAATAATAAAATAATATTTGCATAATCAATAGACTGAGACATGACTTTCTCATGGACTTTAAGGCCATTTTTCACTGTTTCCATGGTGTGACTGCTAACCAGGCTCCCTAAGAAACGGACAGCACTGTTGAAAAGCTGCATGTTAATCCAAACCACAACCACCAAACACCACCAAGTCATTGGTTCAGGTATGTGGATGACACCAGGGTGAAAATTGAATCTCAGGACTTACCACAATTTACTAGATCACATCATCTCAGTGGACTGACCCATCAAATTCACCAGGGAGGATATGAAAAGTGGCAGGTTAGCCTTCTTAGACTGTGAGATTTCCATCAGTAATGGGGGACATCTAAAAGCTGATGTGTACCGTAAACCTACACATACGGACGCTACAACACAGAGCGAACACCATCCCCACTGACACAGCAGCCAGGGAGGCAGAAGAACATCAAGAAGGCCCTGAGTAAATGTGGTTATCCCAGCTGGACTTTTGTCAAAGCTGGGAAGGCTCCTAAAGAAAGCTCCAGCTGATCCAGGAGAGAAGGACAACCGCTGCCCAAGCGAAAACCTGTAGTGAGCCTGTATGTGTCAGGAGTATTGCAGCAGTTGATTTTCTCTAAAAGATGCATCTCTGTGGCTTTTAAACCCCAAAACATGCAGCAGTAAAAATCAGTCCACCCGGCACAAACAGAGTATGGTGTTCCTAGGGAGCATGGAAACAAATGGCCTTAATGAAAAAAGTCCATCAGAAAGTGACTTCTCAGTCTATTGATTATTGTTACCTAATGACTGAGCTTTCTGACAGAGACATAACAGAGAAAAGCTGTTTTGTCTCTGTCAGGAAGGCAGTTTGATCTACTGCAAAGACTGTACCGTGTTGTCTTCATCCAAAGCAGAGGGGCAGAGAAAAACATGTTTCTCTACATGCAAACACATTATTACAGCAATACTGTGTCACGTGCATGACAAAAACACTTTGTTCTAATGCAAATGCAGCAACAGCTTTCTATTAAGAAAGAAATGAAAATGAAAGTGGAAATCACCAAGCAGAGCTAAGCAGAAACATCCCTACCTTGCTGGATCGGAGAGTTCCGTGTTGATCCAGTGCTGCCATTAGATCCATATTTCTCTAGCAGATCAGCAAATTCTCTCCTTTTCAAGAGAAACAGATGTTGAGACATGACAGGATGACTGCATGTTACATGTTAAAGCCAATGATGTTGTAATGATTTGTGTAGACCTGGACAGCTTTGCTTTGGGAAGTGATATAGGTACATACAGTGGGGCAAAAAAGTATTTAGTCAGCCACCGATTGTGCAAGTTCCCCCACCTAAAATGATGACAGAGGTCAGTAATTTGCACCAGAGG